TCAGTTGTTGCCAATAAAGTGTTGAGCACAAGGTATTCTGTTGTACTGATTTAACACATGCTTTAATTCGAAGGAGGACGGAGTTGTCTAGAGGTTAGTTAGCAACTGAAATGCATGCATGTTGCCCGCTGAACCATTAAATTCAAGACAGTGACATTTTAGGAACACAATTTCCTATCAGGACGATTACTCAAATTACCAAAGGACGACGTGTGTCGTGGGAAACGGTATTTATGTATCTTTGTTTCTCGGAGCACAGGAAGGGCAGGCAAAGTGGGCATACCTATTCAAACAAACGGGAGGATATTTACCATTCAACAGATAAAAAGCCTTACAAATCATTAAGGAGACACACTCCCCGCCAGTTCTCTCACTCTATACTCTTGAGTTCTTTAACCACTTACAACATCTGAGTGACCATAGCATACTGTGTTGTAGAGGCCCTACAACACTATTCCATTCACTACGTTAGGCGTCCATTTTTGGGACACCCACTGACTGCCACCCTATGAAGGGGGATACGAGTAGCAATAGGCACACTAATGATGGTGCAAGAACTGAGCTATTACCAAACCACCATAGCTGGGGATTTAGATGATCAGCATCCGAAACTAGGATAGGAGGACGCTAACAGTTCCATTGATGAAAATCTGACACATTATCATGAGGGATAGAGTGATTACGATTGCAGATGATGCCACCAGGTATAATTATGGTTTAAAGCCGTGAAAAGAAATATTTTCCTAAATGGTAAACAAAAGTTGGTATAAAACATCCAAATCAGTGTTTGTAGGAGGTAATAACTAGGCTGCACAAAGTTCGACCCAGTGATTCACGGGAGTAGAGAGCGAGGTATATGGCCTACTACAACAAAATAAGGGATATTCGTCCATCGCCAAATACCCAATAGATTTTGCCGCAGTATCGATAGATGAACGATGGGAAACGATGGACCACATTACCCTCAGAGACATCGAAGGTACAGTGCCCCTAGTGACGTAGGACTGCAAGCAGCCATCTTCTACTGTAAAGCAAAGCTCACCTAGTGGACTGAAAGGGAAAGCAAGGACTCGGCATAAGAGGAGCCACTCAGGGAAGAGACTGGTATTAAGGAATGCGCAGCTATGAGCAACCAGTGCTACCCAAGATTCCGGAAAGAGAGAAGGTCACTACGGGCGGATTTTGTCAAGAAACTGCTTGCCAGTCCAAAAAATGTACACCAATCCGTTTAAGAAATAAAGCCCACAAACTATTTTTTTTACTTTTTTTTATTTTTGATTTACAGCTTGATTCCACACTGTATTTTTGGTACAAGTATGGAATTTTCAGCATGGATATCGGTAGCCCAAATTTTACAGGCCGACCATAGATATCAGGTGTGCGCCGGCGTGGGCTCGAACCCCGGACCATGTGCATGGTCGGCGAGAGTCTTAACCACTGTGCCACCGACGCACAGGGCATACATATAGGATCGCCTGGACGGTCATTATCTCACTGGTGTGGAAGAGATGAAGACTATCGGTCCGGTTTTCGATGTACACCTAAACAACACTCCTCGAGGGCAGAAAAATTGCCCTACTGTATCACCGAGTAAAAGCGAGGTAGGGTAGTCCTACAAAATTACCACAATCACTCTCGCTAGGGTGCAATGACAGTCTGCCATCTATTTTGATCTACTTTACAGGAGGTCCGTCATCAAAAGTTTAGTCTATTCCAGCGATTCTCTTGCCTTAAGAAACTCTCCAAGCATTGGAAGGGGACCATTTTCTTTTCCGATTCTAAACGTGAAGATCAGTAGAGTGCTGTGTGACAAAGACCTACACCATGATTTTGGTAATGCCAAGGTTATTGAACAGTCTGATAAATGACCATGCTGGAGGACAAATCAGCGTGAACAAAACAACACGTTGAGTACAGAAACATTATAAGGAGACATTATGCTGTAATGGAAACGTCTAGTGAAAGATATTTCAGGTAAGTATTGGTGATCAGCTTCTTCCCTTTAAGTGGTGGTAGGAAGGTCAGTACAAGGTGAACTCTATCACTTATTATATCTCTGAAATTTCTCAAGTTTCTGTTCCGAGAGACTTGATATTCCACAGAAATCTATTGGGGCGTTTGGGCTGCCAGCTTGCCTTCATATTGATTCTGTAAATATCTGGAAACCGATCAAATGTGTGTGGCGCTCACGCAGCCTGCTAGGAAACAGTAAAACTGGAAAGCACGTTAATGCAGTGTCTTTCAACCTCAAATGGTGTGAAGTAGGTGTTATCAACCTGAGGTGCATTTAATTATCATTCTGTCGTTCTTTGAAAAAGACACCTGTCACTAGGAAGCGATACAAAGTTGAGTGCCAATAGGTTTCATGGGTCCTCGGAACACAGCACTCAACGAAAGACTGTGGAGGCAGTGTCTCGTCAAACACAGCATGTAAGATGATGAACTCTGGGTGGAATCTGAATGTGAAAAGACGAGTTGGCCGTTTCTTAGAAAGTGACATGGTAGAGATCATGCGAGCTGAAGATGGTGAACTATTAGCAACCACAGAAGTGGCTAAAGGGGAGGTAGAAAAAATGGCAAAGTCCAGATGTGCTAATGAAGCCGTATGTTTCATTCGGAACCCACTGGAACAATAATAATCGTATAATATATTCACCCAAAGAGAGAAATTCATACATCATATAATTGTGGATGTCTAGATGACAGTCTACGAAGTGTGACTCATCAGAGGGAGAATGATCGAGAAGCTCCCCCACAATTACCTTCTAGGTCACATCTACAAGGAAACTTCAGGAACAGACATAGTTACTACGTTATCAGAGAAAGCTTCAAGTGGTCGAATAATACCTCAGCGAGATATCATATGTATCAGTGGGTTTCTAATTGATTCCGACGATTCAGTCCCTTTGGCACTTCCGCACCTATCTTGCTTTCTTCTTCTGCTTACTTATTTTTGTCTTCGTTAGCCTGTTTCTTTATTTTCCTCCCCAGAATTCTTTCTCATATCTGATATTATTGTGGTGATTGCTAATATCCCATCCTATTTGATCAACCGTCTAAAGGTGGAATTTCGTTTAGTATATCAACCAAGACCACATGGCGAAAATCACATTATTATATCTGTAAAAAGAACTACCAATGTTATCACAAACTACCCTCAAAACCTAGACAGTTTTCAACTCAAATGAGGTCTTAAAATAAGGTCTGAGGGCGAGTTTCAAGACTATCCAATAGGAAAGTCACCGGAAATTAGAAGCTTTCACATTTCCATCAAGAAATAGGCTCAAAGAAATCAATTTACTGAAGACTGGCTCGTAGGTAGTATATTCGATATTAAAGGCAACTAGGGAGGCATCACTTGTTAGTGTCTAATCAATCAATAAAATCACAAAGGATCAGAATTCTTACTTAAAATGGATTAACATTTTGTAAAGAAGAATGCTAACAGTAGCAACCAACTGTTGTGAAAAGTGAGGGGAAAATGAACTGCCACGTGATCTGCAAAGAAGCGCGGGAAGTTCAAAAAACGAGATGTACGTTACCGTATAATATCTCTGTGGAAGGCTAAAGATTTCTCCATGTGTATTGAGAACAAATATGTCCGAGTTAATTATCTATATATACGTGAGCTGTCTGGTTCCTGTTGTTGGAAAAAAGCATTTCATTAATATGAATAAAAGTTCACATAATGTCCCTTTAAAAAAGTCTTACACTGGTTTACTCCAAATCACTCCTAAGTTTCTTTGATTAGGAATGCTGAATAGTTCATATAAACTTCTCGTTTTATATCCACGACATCTGTCTAAATATTCATGTCATTCTATTTCAATTGAAATAATTTAATAGGTTAACCTATTAAAAAAGGTGCACAGTAAACTTAATATCCTTCACCTGCTCAACCTCACAGAAATCCTCAACTAAACCTCGTAAATCTTGAACTAATTATGCCTTCCCATAATGAACAATTTTCGAAATTTTCAAATGGTGTGATTTTCCAAACAAACTAGAACTCAGTCCTGGTTTTCAGCATAACTCGCACTAATTCACCACCCTGTGCTTTCTCCAGGCACTTTCAGAAGTAGGTCACAACCTACTAGATTCGGTTATCAACCGTATTTCAGCCCTCTTGGAACTAACTGGCATTACTTCAGGACAGTCAGACTTAGTTCAACGCATAGTAGCACTTTCTTCAGAGGGATTTCAGCCGTAAATTCCCATTGACTAGCATCGTTTCACTACTGCCTATGTGTATACTGGCGCAATTCTCGAACATTCCCAAGAAAGCGACACACTCATCGCACTGTGGAAACGCTGTTGCTGCTAATTAACATTCACTTTCATATGCTTACGCGATCCATCCAGTTTGCAGAAAGAAGTCAGTTTTTTATTTGGAGAATTTTATGTTGTAATATTACTGCAAATCCGTCAGGTTAAATCCACTAGCAGCATCCTGCAAATAAGTAAAATATAAACTTAGATTAGTTGAGGAAAACGTCTAGTCGTTACATTTTCAGCATTTACATTTAGAAAGATGTATTTACGTAACCGGCAGTCTCGTCCCAAGGTTGTTTTTCTTCATGTGGTAGGAATTAATGTTACTTCTACGTGTTGACTGAACCATGGCCTTTAAAATTAAGTAAGCTTTTTGTAATATTACCTGACTTCCTCGAGTATACACCACTGGACACGATCTTGTTCATAATCTCTCCAACCTCTCTAGACAATATTAGTTGGCCGGAGAACTCTGCCATAATGACAGCTACAGAATTAAATACTTCATAAATGAGCCTCACATGTCATGATATTATAGCAGGCATGGGGGCACAATGCTGAACTTATTCATTGTCCGCTGAAATGTAAACTCCCAACCCACTTCAGGTTTCGAAAAAGTGTGCATCATGACTTTAAGTGACAACTTTGGATAACACTCTAGGTAGCTAACTACTCCAACTCTCTACAAAAAGTGAAGATTAAGTACGCGAACTCACAAATATCCCCTCATACTTATCATCTCTTAAAGATGCTTCTAGCATGTTCAGGATTTCCTTACACCAGTTGAGGATTTCCAATGACGATTCTTGAAGTAAATGATTATTTGTAAATACTTACCGAGCCCTTGCCTGTGAAGAGTCAACATCTCATTGTTAGCTTCGTTAGATGACAATCTAAAGTAAGTATACAAAAAATTCACATTTATTCTTACTGGTTAGATACAGTTGTAGTCCTTTCGCCAATAGGAGATGAATGGGAGCTCGGGGCATTTGAGGTACTTAAAATGAATGGCATTTGATTAATTTGACACATTGGAATCGGGGGACCAATTGATCGAACATATTCAAAACTGGATATTGTGGTTTGATGCAACGGACTTCGCTGGCAGCTACATCAATATCCACTGAGTTGTAAATAAGGTCTTTGTCAGTCTTCGCATTCCTTGAAAATATGTGAGACACAGAAAACGGTACTTCTTCGGTTCATTACTAACCATTGGTAAGGTGTCGTCTTTAGTGTCTACATTTTTATTGCTTAGCTTCTCAAGAGCTTTTTAGACTTTTTACAATTCTCAAACGTGTCTAGAAAGGTCATATTATGAGTATTCCAACTTACAATATTCCCGAAGTTGACGGAATTCAAATAATGACCATCCATCCCCAGTAAACGCCGGCTCGAAATGGTTTTCCAGGGCTGTTATATGCATATAAACCATTTGACACAGCTCAAATGTCTGGATTAGCCACTATACTGTCGTCTTTCACCAAACGAACGACGAGAAATCTAACTGCTGTTGAGCAAACTCAACGCTATTAGTAACAGCTTCTTTAGGTACATGCTTTGCACCTGTACTTTACACTAGGTAAACTTGCTCAGCATAACGCTGAACTGCCTGCTTGGTCACAGCATATTCACATCGAACGGACTGTCTGAACTCACGCATATAGGAGATTCGAAAGGAAATGCACTAAATCCTTCTAGTGGCTAGTGCAGCTGGACGTCACCGACTATGTTTTAGGGAATAAATACTGTAAGCAATATGTCCACTTCTGAAACAATTCTCATAGTGCAGCAAGGAATTACTTAAATCTGTCCGAACAGCATCCAAAATCAGACGGCTGTATTTAGAATTTGACAGTAAGTATACTGTCAGGCATAATCTTCGGAAATTAGAGTACAGAGCAGTGACAGCGATCCTCAGTAGGACGGGACCCAAATATATAATAGGAAAAGTCTACACTCGGTTGCCTTCCATTAGCTAACCTCAGCTAGCGACCGACATTTCCTTTGAAAGTTGGAAGGAATGAAGTTCCTACTCTCAGTCTGTTATCTATATATGCAATCCATTTGCTCTTCTCACCGAGCTGCGAGAACACCAATTCCTTAACAACAGGGTATATAAGATGTATGGGCTCCAAACGGAATGATTTGACGATGTCAAGTGGCAATTCCCCAATACAAGTTCTGTCCCGATGGTGAATTGGTTGTACCTTACCATGGAATGTATTATCACTTTTCAGGGTGTGATTCCTATAAGGAAATGTCATCCTTCCCTCCGAACGACGACCGATGACTTCACGCTTATCAGGACCTATTTTTTTCATTGTGACCTACAGTTTGTTTGAAATTAGAACAAGCACTAAGTCTGATTGTCCCCAAGTAATGCCAGTAAGTGCTAAATCTGTCCGAACAGCATCCAAAAACAGACGGCTGTATTTAGAATTTGACAGTAAGTATACTGTCAGGCATAATCTTCGGAAATTAGAGTACAGAGCAGTGAGTGATCCTCAGTAGGACGGGACCCAAATATATAATAGGAAAAGTCTACACTCGGTTGCCTTCCATTAGCTAACCTCAGCTAGCGACCGACATTTCCTTTGAAAGTTGGAAGGAATGAAGTTCCTACTCGCAGTCTGTTATCTATATATGCAATCCATTTGCTTTTCTCACCGAGCTGCGAGAACACCAATTCCTTAACAACAGGGTATATAAGATGTATGGGCTCCAAACGGAATGATTTGACGATGTCAAGTGGCAATTCCCCAATACAAGTTCTGTCCCGATGGTGAATTGGTTGTACCTTACCATGGAATGTATTATCACTTTTCAGGGTGTGATTCCTATAAGGAAATGTCATCCTTCCCTCCGAACGACGACCGATGACTTCACGCTTATCAGGACCTATTTTTTTCATTGTGACCTACAGTTTGTTTGAAATTAGAACAAGCACTAAGTCTGATTGTCCCCAAGTAATGCCAGTAAGTGCTAAATCTGGTCTGAAATAAGGTTAATAAATGAATCCAGTAGGTTGTGATCTACTCTTGAGAATGCCTGGAAAATTACAGGGTGTTGAATTAGTGCGAGTCATGCTGAAAACCAGGACTGAGTTCTAGTTTATGTGGAAAATCAAACCATTTAAGAATTTACTCGTTATGGAAAGTTAGAGTTAGTTGATAATTTGCGAGATTTACTTCAGGATTATTGTCAGCTTGGCTTGACTTCCATTTATTGACTGGACCAGTTAACTGCTGGACGACAGTACTAACCACGGATTCATTTACGCATTTATGTCAATAGAGTCTAGGTTAGTCAAATCCTGGCACTTATCGACAAGGACTGCGGGTCAAGAAAGACATAGCTATCTTAGAGAACGAGTACACTCATAACCTTTGAATGCTCAATCAGATCAAGGTAATGAAACCAGGTACAAACCCCTCCATATTTGCAAATGTATGCTAAAAAAGGTCAAGAATATTAGACAGAATACCTTTCATTAAACTTCTATTTAATATAAAGGCCTAATCCTGTATGTTCCTTCTTCTGCCCAAATTAACCAAGCTGATGCAATTGGCTGATTAAAAATCATTAGTTTGTGTGTTTTTCCCACCTTAGATCGTTACTCTTTAACTCTGCTCTATTGACTCATTTGAAATTCGAGTGTTTCACTCAGTAAGTAGCTCTGCTGCATCCACTGGTTTGTTTTGTTTTCAAATCAAGAATTTTTGAAACTCAGTTGGCGTATATTATTCCAAAAATTTAAAACAATTAGTACCTTTTAAAAATTTGGATAGCGTTATTACAAGACGGAGATTATCTGAAAAATGTGATGTATTTGCGCTATAGATTTCGAACAATCTGATCACACACACATTTACTTGTCAAGTCGATATATATGAAAAAAGTTAAATTAAACGAAGTGACAGAAAAAGGATTTCAGAATTATTAACACGTTTGGTAATCCAATCAAATAAGGATTACCAAGGTAGGTTAAGAGTAATGATAAACTGTTTTTGAATACACAGAGTGGGAGAGCTTAAATTTATGAATAGATATAGCCTCGGCGTATTTCAATAAGCGCCCTTGACCGTTTATATAGATGACTTTAAAGGCTGAGTTAACATCAATATTATGGTTCATCTCGATTAGGTGTTTGGCTATAGATGAAGTTGGTAGTCTGACACCTGCATCTATTGGTTTTTCGCAATTCATTTGTTTTTCTAACAATTTTGGGATATGCTCGCTGTCCCACCCTCACATGCAAAGCGCGATTACTCCTCCCCATGTATGTGTGACCACATACACGGAAATTGGTAAATGGTGTGGGATGTGATACAATCACTTGTGCACTTTTGAAGTTTGCAGTGGAGCGTATTTTTAGCTTTTTCGACAATTTCAAGGTGGGCTGCATTATAGGTTCTACGGATGATCAAATTCAACCTTTGTCTCAAAATCCTACTGTTTATTTCTCTGTCAGATGGTAATTTGATGAAAACATTTTTCTTAGGGGCGGTATGGATTGTAGCTTTAGAGACTAATTGACTTCTACACATGTTTAACTATTTTAAAGGATATCCGTTTTCAACAAGAGCATCCATCAATATTTCGTTTTCTCTGTCTATGACATCAACCGTACATATACGTTGAATCCTCTTAAATAGGCATTTCACCAAGCCTCTCTTATACTGTAATGGACAGAAACTGTGAAAGTGAAAGTACTGCCCTGTCCAAGTGGGCTTTCTGTAGATTGATCGTCCCATTGAACCATCATCTCTTCGACTCAGAAATATGTCTAAAAATGCAAGCTGGTTTCGTCTTTCTTCCTCGCATATTAGACTTACATGATTCTGTACAGAGTTAAGTCTGTCTAATAGACGACTCGCATCTTCATGATCGTCGCATATCATACTCTTGTTGAAAACGGATATCCTTTAAAATTGTTAAACATGTGTAGAAGTCAATTAGTCTCTAAAGCTACAATCCATACCGCCCCTAAGAAAAATGTTTTCATCAAATTACCATCTGACAGAGAAATAAACAGTAGGATTTTGAGACAAAGGTTGAATTTGATCATCCGTAGAACCTATAATGCAGCCCACCTTGAAATTGTCGAAAAAGCTAAAAATACGCTCCACTGCAAACTTCAAAAGTGCACAAGTGATTGTATCACATCCCACACCATTTACCAATTTCCGTGTATGTGGTCACACATACATGGGGAGGAGTAATCGCGCTTTGCATGTGAGGGTGGGACAGCGAGCATATCCCAAAATTGTTAGAAAAACAAATGAATTGCGAAAAACCAATAGATGCAGGTGTCAGACTACCAACTTCATCTATAGCCAAACACCTAATCGAGATGAACCATAATATTGATGTTAACTCAGCCTTTAAAGTCATCTATATAAACGGTCAAGGGCGCTTATTGAAATACGCCGAGGCTATATCTATTCATAAATTTAAGCTCTCCCACTCTGTGTATTCAAAAACAGTTTATCATTACTCTTAACCTACCTTGGTAATCCTTATTTGATTGGATTACCAAACGTGTTAATAATTCTGAAATCCTTTTTCTGTCACTTCGTTTAATTTAACTTTTTTCATATATATCGACTTGACAAGTAAATGTGTGTGTGATCAGATTGTTCGAAATCTATAGCGCAAATACATCACATTTTTCAGATAATCTCCGTCTTGTAATAACGCTAACGAAAGTATATTATTCCAATTTTTTTCAATTTACCTCGGTATCTGAGACTCGCTTTGTCTGCGGTGTTTTCTACAACTCTCCATTTAGAGCATTACTAAAGTATAAATGTTTGGAATAATTAACGTTTTTATATGATCCTTATTGTCTCAGGCACGCAGTGAAAAATAATTAAATCTGAAGATTTTTAGTGATACAAAATTGTACTCATCTGGTAAACATAATATCTCCAAGGAGTTCAGTTCATATTTCTTGACTGAGTTGGGGAGTTACTGTTTATCGATTTTTCTCCCCTTTATGTTTTCTTTCCTCTGCAAATATTTTTTAGAAAGTTTTGTTACCAAAACTCTCTCTAAAACCTGTGTAACTTGTATGGCTTATTCTGAAGAACTCAACTCGGACTTGAAGAATATTTTTAAGTTTTACAAACTTTTAGACTATACACAAGATGTATGTATGCAGATATGCGTATATGCCGAATCAGTTTTAAAGGTATTATGGCATTTAACCTTCGTCTATACTCATCTACAGACACTATGTGTGGAGAATCCTTTTAATGATCGTCATCATGATATATGTACAGTGCAGCATTTGCCTAACGAAGGTGAGTTATTTATCATTTTGCCAGTTGATAGGTATAACCAAACAGATTTTTTTATATTTAAGAATTTTTTAAGTGAGAATGAAATAGACGCTTTGTTACTAGCTGCATTAACTGAATGGTGTTATCTACCGTCAGCAGAGAATAATTTAAGCACCACCGCAGATGTGATAACAAACAGTAAAAGTAGGTTATTCATCTTTAAACTAAAGTAATCTCTTAATAGAAATATCTCCTAGTAATCCATGGTATTGTAAACTACGTTGGATAACATTAGGATATCATTACCAATGGAGTGATAGGGTAAGTTTAGAGGTTTCTTTGTTATTGTGTTTTTTTAGTGTTGTGAGAACATCAATTTCCACTTTAAACGTTTGGGTTGGTCTATATTTTAATTACGTCGGTGGGCTTGTTGAAGGCTTCGTCTACTCTTGGAAGTGTGTAGGTGGTTGTTACTTCCCGCCTGCCTACACTGTCTGTCTGTCTGTCTGTTTTCGACATAGAACTTTGCACAAATGTGCGGAAGTTCAAGTCGCCACACTCCGTGTAGCACGCGAAGCAAGAGAAGAAAGTACAAGAAAAGCATAATAGAAACAGTGAGCAGAGGTGTGAGACAAAGGAGTAATAAAGAAAAACAAAACAGTTTCATTGGAAATCATAAGTCACAAGGAGTGGATGCATCTGCGCCACTGAGAACCATTTTGAGCCATGTCACCAACTGTTTCCAACCATAGATTTTTACCGTCCCGAGGACCCCAGCCTAGAAGCCTACACCTTCCTACGTGGCTTAGACCAACTGTTGTGGATTTCATTGACTGGTGCCAAGTTTTTGTTTGACCGCCGCTAGCTTTCTTCCGGCCTGACCCTATATCCGCTATCATTGCTCGTCGAGGGAGGCGATGGCTTGGCATACGTAACACATGTCCTAACCATCTCAGTCTTTGTAGCTTCACGACTTCGTCGATTGATTTCCCCTGTTTACCTAGAACTCTACGCCTAACCTCCATGTTGCTCACCTTATTATGCCAATTTACACGGGAAATAGAACGCAGGCACCTATGATCAAAGACAGCTAGTCTTTTCATGTCTTCCACTCTCAGTAGCCAGGTCTCACAACCATAAAGGAGGACGGAGCGGACTGATGAGCAGTACACCCGCCCTTTGGTCGATAGTCGAACATCTCGTCTACGCCAGAGTCGGCGTAAACTGGCAAATACGAAACGAGCCCCTGTATTTGTGCTGAGATTTCGTCAGAGATCAGCCCGTTGGGGCTGATGGTACTTCCCAAATAAGGGAAGCGGTCAACGTGCTCTACCACTTTCCTTCCTATTTTTAAACTAGGCGTCGATGTAGTCCAGTCCTGTAACATCATCTTGCATTTGGCGGGAGCGAATCGCCTGCCAAGCATTCGTAGATTGCGGCTCAAGGTGTTTAGAAGACTCTGCATTCCGTCAGCGTCTTCGCCTAGAAGGACTATATCGTCTGCATATTCCAAGTCAACGAGATTATTCCCCGGTAGCAAGTCAATCCCTGAGTCACTGAAGTCACCTAGGGTTAAGTCCATTAGTACATCTATGATGAAGTTGAATAGAAATGGGTGTAAGGGGCATCCTTGACGGACATCACTAGTCGTCATCAGTTCAGATGACAACTCTCCGTAAGCCCTCACCTAGTTGCGTGAGTACGAGTAGAGTGCCTTAATCAGTGCAATATATTTTCTCGGCCTCCCTTCCTTTCACAGCCAAGCATCTCCAGAGAACCTCTCAGTCGACAGAAACGAATGACACCTTTAGGTCAAGAAATATAATGACTGTTGGACGCCGGTAGGAATCCCTATGTTCTAGAATCTGTCGGAGGGTGAAGATATGATCAATACACCCTCTTCCTGGTCTAAAGCCTGCCTGGCTCTCTCGTGTTTGTGCCTCCCGAGCACCACTTACACTGTAGAAATTGATTTATTCTTGGCGTACCTGAAACAGAAAGAGAATTAGTGTTGCGTGACTGCAGAGCCCAGGAGACAACTTCTTGAGGCTGATCGGTCGCACGTAGCGTGTATGAACTGGTTTTTTTTGCTTTGGTTCCGTATTAGTAACTTACCGCCGACTACGGACCACCATAGGGTAAGTTGGGATGGACCTTTTCTATCACCCTTTCTCCAGAATGGAAAGACAGCACGGCTGACATGCTGGTCATCTGAGGGAAACACCTTACTGCTGTTACACCCCTTTTCCCCAGCAGTACGACTTCGCCCACCGACGCAATGACCCAACAAGCTACACTGGCTGGAACTACTGTTCCTGCAGGTCCTAACATACCAGAAAGGTTGTTAGGATAGCGATTAAACCGAAAGCAGTTAATGGCATAGCGTGTGCGAAGTCGAACTGCTGGGGAAAAGGGGTGTAACAGCAGTAAGGTGTTTCCCTCAGATGAACAGCATGCCAGCTGTGCTGTCTTTCCATTCTGGAGAAAGGGTGATAGAAAAGGTCCATCCCAGCTTACCCTATGGTGGTCCGTAACCGGCGGTAAGTTACTAATATGGAACTAAAGCAAAAAACCCAGTTCATACAGGCCGTGTGTGACCGCCCTCAAGCAGTGTTCTTTTTGACTCTGCAGTCACACAACACTAACCCTCTCTCTGTTTCAGGTACCCGAAGTACCAATCAACTTCCATGGTGTGGAGAGCTAGGAAGTAATAACCGCCTACACACTTCCAAGAGTACACGAAGCCTTCCTGAGGATCATTCTCCTACAGAGGTAGAATGCTCGCCAACCATGTGTATGTGGTCCGGGATTCGATTCCCGGCCACCAACGCACTCGTTCACCTCGCTAAACCAGTAATAAAACTAGTAAAGAGGGTTGGTTGGGCATGAGGCTGGCTAGCAACCCAATCCCGTAAAAATAAAAACACCACTGCTACAGAAACTTCAGGCCTCTAGCTTGAAGCCTTATGTTCCACTGTGAACGTAAATAAATAAAATAATATTTTAATTATTCATTGTAATTGAAGCAGGTGACTGTATCTAGCTGGTATCATAAAGAAGAAAAAACTGATGAGACTCAAAGGAACGTTTAATTAGACCAAACTCATTGTAGGCACATAAATTTTCTTTGGTATACCATATCTTCAACGCTTTATATGCACATCTCTTTCAAATTGGTCGAATATCGCCACATTCAATAGCTTGTTGGATGATTCTGCACAATGTTTCTAACATTCTTCTCACAGTTCTGTCCTTCGCTTGCTTTTTCCACTGTCCGAAACATATTGTTACTTTTCTGAATTCGTTCACTGATATACTACTTTTGTCTGATTATAAGTAGCACTCACCACACTACTAGTATACTTTGATTAGTATGCAACTAAAAGATCCATGCCATTTTTCCACTGCAGCTTTGAATAAGGGTAATGAATAAAGGAACTCCGATTCTTATGTACGCATTCGTTCTTACTTCCATTATTATAGGGAAGAGAAAGATATACATCTCTCTCCCCTAGGGACAATCCAGGTACCTTGTGCTTATTTAAGGTTGTATTTGAACTAGATCCAAATGTCTCCTTGGTGTTCCTAAATTTGCCGAAATATTACGTTGGTATGTATTCAGAAATGTATGATGACTAAATGATTGAGTGTCAACGTGGAAATTTGCACTGAAATGTAGCAGTTCAAGTAGCCATACAGTAATATTGAGGCTAGGCTTAGAGTATTTGATGAGGAGAGCATGACAGTCAGTCGTTGTGGTTGTGAAGCTCTATTGGTTAAGATGACAGAACACGTGTTACTTATGTCAAGCCACTGCCTTCCTTGTCAAGCGATGTTAACCGAACAGATTTACTGATGGGCCATATCAAAACTTGGAATTAACCCATGAATACTGATTGATGGTTTGAGTCACGTAACGAGGTGGAGATTGTCCGTGGTGTGGCTTAAAATCGGCCTTATTGGCGCAGACGCATTCACTCTTAGGTGATCTCTTTCCATTAAATCTTCTTTTCATGTAGTTATTCTCTCTGCCGTACATTTCCCTTCATTACATAGTTCTTTTGAATTTTATCTCTAAATTTATATGCTACATAGACGAACTGCTGCACTTTTGTTTGAAGTTCTGCGTGGGGTATACAGTATGCATTGAATTGCGTATGTGTGCAATGAAAGTCACACAACATTACCCTAATCTACAAATACTTAAGCGCTTCAACAACCATAACTATAGTGAAAAATGTAATTGTCTTACTAAAAGCATTGGTTTGGTGATGGCTACAATCGTTTTAGTAATTATTATGGTGGTCATGTATTCAGTTACTGCTGTCTTTGTGCCATCATTCTGTATCACTTTGCGACCGAGGTAGACACAGATGCTGAATTTTAGATAAGGGAGTCATCTTTGTAATAAAGGTTGTTTTTGTATTTCCCAATGAATGAAAAACAAAACGATATTGTTTTTACTGACGTTTCGCCCATGAAATGACAGTCAACGTCGATGTGATAAACAATTTCACAATGTAACCACACGCTGCTTTCATAATCTTATACACTTATCAAATCCAGCAATCTACACTTGATTTTGTTGGCCAATTTGACAACTAAAAATGACCCCTTACTGAAGAACGATGATTAAGTTGTTATTATATAAGCTGAGTGGATTTTGTGAATTCTGGTTTAATAATACTTTGATAAAGCTATTAGCAGCAGCATTAAATAGCGAAACGTCAGTAAAAACAACAACAATATCGTTTTGGTCTTTTTCATTCATTGGGAAATACAAGAAAACCTTTATTATAATGAATATCATATACACCCAATGCCCAAGTTTTTTCAAACTTTTAAAAGTGAACTTGATTTGCACATATATAAGGGAGTTGTCTCCTTGAGTTTCTGAAAAGTGTATTATGAACGCGGAGCCCCACTTTTCTCTACACGTTAATTAACAGTTAGGAGAAAATGGTTGGTGACCTGATCATCAGTGAAATTTATCATGTCAACCCATCCAGTTTCCCAACATTTGTCTGATTTGTGTAGCATGGTTGAGTAGAGTCAACATGACAACCACAGCCTGTCGTCCAAGATACTAGGTGGTATGACTTTGAGTCGGCGACAGATACATGTATACCTCATATTATTTGCGATATTGCATCTTTTTCCCCGAAAGGAACTCTTCGACTTTTATTTGTTTGTCTCCTATCTCTATGCCCAGTTGATATTCCTTATACCCTGTGTAGAAATCTGAGTTCTGACAGTTACGCGGGGTGGGGGGCTTCTCAAATCGTTGCATAATAGTTCTGCTTCCTAAAATTGTATATATATGGTATAACCTTCACATCTTGTAGTTGTTTGTACTGGTGGAGTAGTCTTCTCTTAATGTGTTAGTGGGTGGGTCTTAGTTACGTTCTGATTTCGAAATTTTTTATCCAAAATTAATTTCTATCTTATGCATCTTATTCTCAGGTTTACGATGAATCCAAAGTTGGAGAGTTCCCCTTATTGTTGAATGAAATCACTGTGCATGTGGTGAATTTTCTTCGTCTTCTCATAGAAACTGGCAGTATTTCTTCAAACAACTCCACTCGTTTACTTGAAAAATGTCAAAATTATAAACCGGAGGCTTCCATAGTAAATTATTATCGGACAAAAACAACTATGGGCTTTCATTCTGATGATGCAGAGCTGGACAAAGAAGCTCCTTTGGTTTCGATAAGGTATGCGTGTTAATCTTCTAATTTACCTTAGATTAAATCCGTATTTTCTACGTGTACCTCATGCTTAGTTAGGTGGTATGCTTTATGATATCACTTATGTCCTATCAAGTTAGCACAAAATGGCATGAAGCTTCATAATAAAACACATGTGCACTGAATTTATCTATACATTCGTATCTCGGTAATCCATGGCTGGATAAATACGTCAGTTCTTTTTCGTATAGAATATTCATCATCATCATAGGTGTACTAATGGACTTAACCCCTAATTGACTTCAGCGATTGACTTGTTACCACCAGGGGGTAATCTCGTTGACTCCAAATATGCAGATGACATAGTTATTTATTTATTTATTTAAACGCATAAAAAACTTGGTACAATATGGCACCAAGATGGATGCGCCACACAATAATAATAAAACAACATAGATCAAAAAGAAAAAAAGGAAGGAAAAGAATATACATAAGTAGAGAACGGATAAAGAACTCCATCTGGAAGGAAGACATTCATGCTTAACAAGTTCAAACAGTGTTCGTTAACTATCATCGGGAAGGGAAGAAAGAAGGAAATTGCAACACATTCGCCATTGATTACGATTCTTGGCCATATCCGATAACGTTTCGAGCCATCGATTTGAGCTATCTCTCGGACCCCAACCAGGGAGTCGTGACACACCAACCGATGCTAATCTAGCACAAAAATCCTTCATCCCACGCCGCCACGTCGTGGACTGACCACCTCTCCGCCTTTTCCATCCCGTCCCAGGGCTAGCAAACAGAGACCTGTACGGAAGCCTCTGGGGTGACATTCGGAGCACATGTCCAAGCCACCGGAACCGGTGTTTCCAGATGACGACACTCAATGAATGGTGATCTCCACCATGTTCAAACACACGCCGCCGAACCTCAGAATTACTCACGCGATGATGCCACCAAACGCAAGCAATCCTGCGGAGACAGCGGTGGTCGAACATGCAGAGTTGCCGCACATCCTCAGCTCGGAGAGGCCAGGTTTCACAGGCATAGAGCAGCGCAGCCCGCACCGAAGCATTGTATACCCGACCTTTGACAGCCAGGCTAACGTCGCGACGGCGCCAGAGGTGGCTCAAGTTGATTTATACCACCCTAGCCTTCATTATACGGTTGGAAATCTCATCCGTCACCCCTCCGCCATCACTCACACAACTACCCAGGTACACAAACTTATCAACAACTTCAAGCGGTTCACCTGCAAGAGTGAGTGCAGGTACAGGCTCCTGCCAATCTTGTAACAGTACTTTGCACTTAGACGGCGCAAAGCACATACCATACTTACAGACACTGATCGCCAACTGATTAAGTGCGATTTGGGCAGCCTGCATGCTATCGCACAGTAAGACGATATCGTCTGCATACTCGAGGTCGAAAAGTCTATCTCCAGGTAGCAGATCTACACCACTTTCACGCACATCCTTCAGAGCTGACTCCAGAATGTCATCGATGGCAAAGTTAAAGAGAAATGGAGAGATTGGGCAACCCTGTCTAACCCCACTGTTGGTTGGGAACAGTGGTGATAGTTGGTTGTATGCCCTCACTCTACCTGAGGTGTTTAGGTATAGGGCTTTCAAGATGTTAACAAATTTCTCAGGTACACCTCTCCCTAACAGACAGTTCCAGAGCACAGTTATGTCCAACGAATCGAAGGCAGCCCTAATATCAAGAAACACAACGATCGTTGGCCTGCAATACGTGTGGCGGTGTTCCAACAACTGACGAAGGGTGAACACATGATCAATGCATCCACGATCTGAACGAAACCCAGCCTGCTCTTCGCGAATCAATCCTTCACGTATTTTGCACAGTCTGCGAAGCAAGACAGCAGCCAATATTTTAGACGCGACTGGTAACAGACTGATACCCCTATGATTGTCACACGAATTACGTCGACCCTTTTAAAGATGGGGACGATAATGGCTTCGTTCCATATTGATGGTACACTCTCTGTCTCCCACGCCTTCCTGATCAACCCAGTTGGAGCCATTGTGAGAGTCTCGCACCATCTTTAAAAAAAGCCGGGGGTAATTTGTCTGGGCCGGGCGCCTTATGGCGTTTCAGTACTTGGAGTTCCTTACGGACCTCCGCTTCGGTGGGTGGGTCGGTACTAACCGACCAAGGAGCACTCGGGCTAATTATAGTAGACACTGAAGCAGACAGCAGATGACATAGTCCTCATAGTTAAAGATGCTGAAAACATGCAGAGTCTTCTGAACACCTTGAACAGTGATCTTCGAATGTTTGGCATGCGATTCGCTCCCTTTGTCAAATGTAAGATGATGATGCTGCAGGAGTGAACTGGATTACACTGACTTCTAGCTTAGAGATAGTTAGTGAAATGGCTGTTGGAGCGTGTTGACCACTTACTTCATTTATATGAGAAGTTGCATCAGCCAACGCCAGCGGGTCGGGTCACTGACGAAATCTCAGCACTGATAGAGAAAGCTCGTTTAGCATATGCCAGCTTGCGCCATCGCTGGCTTAGCGGATGTCGACCAAAGGGCATGTGTACTGCTCAGCAGTCCACTTCGTCCTTCTTTATGGCTGTGAGTGAGATATGGCCACTGAGAGTGGAAGATATGAAAAGAATAGCTAGCTGTCTTTGCTCATAGGTGCCTGCGTTCTATCTCCCTGTCAGGTGGTGGCATAATAAGGTGAGCAATATTGAGTTGGTTGAGTTCTAGGAATTCAATCGACGAGGTTGTGAAGCAGTTACACCAATTGAGATAGTTAGGACGTGTGTTATGCATGCTAGCTTTGCCACCGCCTTCCTCGACAATGGGCAATGTTAGCTGACGTAGGATGGATCGGGTTAAAAAAAAAAGCGCTAGTGGTAGTCAAACGAAAACATGGCTTCACTAGTCAGTGAAATCCACAACAGTTAGTTTATGCCACGTTGGAAGGTATAGACTTCCTGACTGACTGACTGATTGGAGTCCTCAGGATTGTGAAAACCAATGGCTGAAGACAACTAGTAATATGGCCCAAAGTCGTTCTCAATGGCTGGCGCAGATGCATCCACTCCTTGTAATTTATAATATCCAATAGAACTCTATTGTTCTTCTACATCACTATTTTTTGACTCATTTCTGTTTTGAATCTTTCTCTACTCTCTTCCCTTGCTTTGTGTGCTACAAGGATGGAGAGTAGAAACTGGAACTGCTGCATATCTGTACAAAGTTCTACGTTAATACTAGTCAGTTAGAATTTTCATCTCACTCGTTAAGTCACGTCTTTGAGTCTTGCTGCACCGTATGTTTTGAAAAATGTTATGTAAATAGTACCTATGTAAGAAGCTCTGCTAACTACACACATAATCCCGTATTGCAAATCAGGTGGACTGTGGAGAAAACTGTCCAATGACAGAGTCTGCGGGTGGGCGATAAAGAAATATAATCAGTTTAATTAGTCAATAGGTGAACACCTGTAAAGAGAATTTGCCGAACAGAAACACCCATCCGGGTGCTTTGTCCTTTCTCACTTCTGTAGCGACTTGTGTTTCAGTTTGAAAGTGCCTTTGGGTCTTCTGGGGTAAACGCTATCAGCGAAGTGAAAAAGTGCAGTGTTGAAACACATCCAAAGTGATATATATATATATATATATATATATATATATAGCACTGCGTCCTATGCTATATTCACCTTCAACGATCTGCACAACTGTGCACAAGTTCTCGTCGCCTACTCACGGGATCTTCTTGTCGTTGACGGACGCTTAACTCGTCAATTTCTACCCACACGAGTTTACCTTTCACTCCAGAGGGAGTTTGATAAATAACTTTCCGAGTCAAACCAACTGATTTCAACAAATCTTGTAGTATACTTGTTCATACGATATGTGTTCTCACAAAATACTAAAAATGAAATGGTGTTATGCTCGAAGTTAGTATTCATTTTGCCTTTGTAGGCAATATACATAAAAACTGAATGGTATTTCTTCTTTTTCATTTATTTTAGTCAAGTAATTCTGTACTTAATTTTTCTTTCAGCATTGGACCTACTGCACTATTCTTACTGGAGACTTCAAAACCTATTGACTGCCAACATAGTCCTGTACATGAATTCACTGGTTCCAATACCATATTCCCCGTGTTCCTTCAACACGGTGATATAGTAATTATGGCTGGTAAAAGTCGTTTAGCTCGTCATGCTGTTCCCAATATTTTCTTCAACGATATTCCTAATGTTGTATTAGAAACAGCTCAACGTGTCAGTCACAAGATTTGCGAAAGTGTTGTACACGAGAAAGGCAATGATTCATGTTTACACTGTCAAGAGTTTCTACAGTATGCGGCATCTACACGAATCAATATGAATGTACGTCAAGTGATGCCTGTAAATGAATAACTTTTCTTTTTCAAAGTACATTAATAATAATAAAAATGCTTATTTGTATTGTTACTTTTTATAAAATATGTAAATGAAAAGAAATAATAAAACTAACTGATGCTTCAAGCCTCTGGTTTTTTGCGTCTGCACCTTGGCTTTCATCGTGAGAGAAGTCAAACGACAGTTCACAGTCCAAACCAAGTTCACTTTTAACAGTTTGAAAAAAATTGCGCATTGGGTAAATGATATTCATTATAGTAAAGGTTTTCTTGTATTTCCCAATGAATGAAAAAGACCAAAACGATATTGTTGTTGTTTTTACTGACGTTTCGCTATTTAATGCTGCTGCTAATAGCTTTATCAAAGTATTATTAAACCAGAATTTACAAAATCCAATCAGCATATATATAACAAAGAGTTAAGAGGTGACAAAATTGACTACTTAGGTCAAGTTAAAAGGAGAACATATTGAAAGTCAAAATAACAAAGAAGATCACTGAACCAAATAACAAAGGTAACAAATAGTACGTCTGTTATGATATCAAAACAAAGTTTACTAACTTGATCATCGTTCGTCAGTCTGGGGGCCATTTTTCGTTGTCAAGTTGGTCAATTGGTAAAGATAACAAAACCAGGTAGGTGTAGATTGTTGGATTTGATCAGTGTGTAAAATTATAAAAGCAGCGTGTGTTTACATAGTGAAATTTGCTTATCACATTCGTGTTGATTTTGCCACTTCATGGGGGAGGGAGGTGTTGTAACCAGGTCAGATTCTATTTTAGTCCATCATTCCTATTCAGGCAATTTGGATTCCACTCGATATGAAGTACTTCTGATATTAGTCGTTCTTTGTGATTCTTGGAGTTTTTCTGGATTATTTCAATATTGTCCAAAATCAGTTTTATGGCCTGATTCTATAGCGTATAGACAAGCTATGGCTGATGATTTTTCTAGTTCAACTGGATTTACTTCTGGGTGGTGGAACACAGACACTCTACGGTGTTCATTTCTTCTGATTTTGATTTCTCGAGATGTTTGTCCGATGTATATCACATTACATTCCAAGCATTTTATTTTATAGACACAATTAGATAGAGAATCTTTAGGGATTTGGTCTTTTATATGGACAGACTGACGAACGATGATCAAGTTAGTAAACTTTGTTTTGATATCATAACAGACGTACTATTTGTTACCTTTGTTATTTGGTTTAGTGATCTTCTTTGTTATTTTGACTTTCAATATGTTCTCCTTTTAACTTGACCTAAGTAGTCAATTTTGTCACCTCTTAACTCTTTGTTATATATATGCTGATTGGATTTTGTAAATTCTGGTTTAATAATACTTTGATAAAGCTATTAGCAGCAGCATTAAATAGCGAAACGTCAGTAAAAACAACAACAATATCGTTTTGGTCTTTTTCATTCATTGGAAAGTACAAAAACCTTTTTATGACAGTTCACAATAGTAATGTATATTCTTAGTGTTTTATTTAGGTATAATAGTATACCTGGGACCTATATAAATCTAGCTAGGCCGAATCACCGGAGTTTTGAATGACATTTTAGTAGGTAGAGATTAACCATAAAGCATTTCTAGGTGGAGAAATACTGGAACCCATAAAGTACTGTCTCATCCCAACTGGAGTCCCTTCATCAGCACGCACCTATGTGCCAACGGAGGACGATAGGACTTTCAGATTACGACGCTAGCCCGTTCACTACTGAACCATCAAGACGAAATCCAGTGAGAGGGAAGAGCAAGAAGCTCAGCTAAGATATCATCGCCGGGCGATTTCATCCTCAAAAGAATCACTGTCATATAATTCAACATAGTGACGAAGCGAGATTAGGGGTGATAATAATTTCCAACTTGGCAAGAAAGTTTAAAGGTACGATTACACGGGGTACTAGAAAAATTGCATAGCACTGGAGGATAGTTACATAATAGGTAATAGTTCTCATGAGTTCACCTGCTCACCGTATCAAAAGAATCTGGAGCGTTGACTCGCTTAGAAGAGTTATTACTTCTTAAGTAAGATATCTAGCGTGTTTTGTGGATAGAGCGGAAAACTGAAGTCAAAATGAGAAAAATGCGGTTTAGATTCAAAGTAAACACTGTATATGAACTTGGACTTTAGTTAGGGCGACATAGTGGCAGATGTCCTGAAGAGGAGAATCTCTAGTTCTTTAAGGAATACCATTCCTGTAGCAAAACTCATTAGACCCATACTGCTTCTGAGCTGTGTAAAGGATAAACTGTCGAATATAATCAATCCAATGTGCACAAATCAATTCACCTCGTACGGGGTGGGTACACGTCCTTTCAAAACGTATTAGAGAACACTACCTAGCATTGCTGCAGAGGCAGTACTGGTTCAATTACAAGCGCCATAACACCAACTGAACCGGCTCATAATTCTAGGGTCGGAAAAAGGAAAAAAGGTAGTGTATTTCTGACTTCTTTTTGCTACAGAAGCCCTCACGGCATTCATCAATAAGCCGAAGATGTATTCAGAAGAAACTAGTCCATGGATCTAGTTCTGTTCGATTGCTTACATTTTGTTTACCTGATTTTTCATCCCCTTCGTTTATAAAAAATATCATATCCATCTGGTTTCTATACTCATCCCATTCACATTTGTCTTCGTTAAAAACCACTTTATATATTGCGCAACTATTTTATAGTCCTATGTAACTTTCAAACTCCCATATCGAGTTGAAAATTATTACCTTTAATCTCCCTCCGTCATCATGTTTCCCCTGACCGATAGCTGCTACCTTGACGTGGTAATCGGGGTTGCATACGGCAATGGCCCAACAAGCCACACTGGCTGGAACTAATGTTCCTCCAGGTTTCACCATGCCAGTAAGGTTGTTAGGATAGCGATTAGACCAAAAGCAGTTACCAGCATAGTGTAAAGTTATTTTTTTTTACATTATTCTGAGAGTCTGTGGGGCAAAGTCGTACTCTTGCGGAATACGAATGTAACAGCAGGAAAGTGTTTCCCCCAGAGGACCAGCTATGCTGTCTCTCTAGTATGGAGAGGAAGATTAGGAAAGGTCGATGCCAGAAACTGTACATCCCGACTTGCCCTACAGTGGTCTGTGACCGGCGGAGGTAATCCAAGAGACCAGTCCAGACAGGCTGTGTGTGACCGGCTTCAAGCAGTTGTCTCCTGGGCTCCACGGTCACGCAACTCTCTCTTTCTGTTTCAGGTACCACAAGAATAAATCAACTTCCACAGTGTAGGAAGCCGGGAAGTAACAACCATCCACACACTTGCAAAAGCATACGAAGCCCCCATGATCAGCATGCTCCTTTATCTCTGTCACCCTCATCATCTTTTTTTATTATAGATTGATTCCACACAGTATTTCAGTACAAGTATGGCATTTTCAGCATATGATATCGGTAGCCCATATCTAGCAGGTCAACCATTGATATCAGGTGTGCGTCAGCCAGCGATCGAACCCCAAACCATGGGCATGGTCGGCGAATGCCCTAGCCGCTGTGCCACCGACGCACTGTTAATACTATGCTTCAGGCTAGTGAGTCATCTTCATTTCGTCCTGTGACCACAAATAACGATGAGTCGGAAAAACGCCTATTAAAGCCGTGGCGCCAACTTCCTAATGGAGCACTTAACATCAGGGCCCAACGTCAAATTGGTGTGGCAACCTGAACTGCTCCACATATGTGCAGAGTCCTACGTTGCATTAAAAGTAACAGTTGCAACTACGTAGACTTAGGTTTAGGTACATAAATGCGATTGTACAGTTTTTGAGGATGAAACCACGGAAAAGATATCTTGGATGGGAATCCAATAACCCGTGAATTGTAACTTCCTCCAATTTGCGATAGACAGCACCACCGCGTCCTGAAGAGTCTTCAACTAGGGCGAAGCAATTATCTGGTTGTCATGTAAGTTTATAATCTAGCTCGAAATGAGCTGAATCCCTGCGAATCAACACGTGAAAATAGGAAGCATTTGTTGAAGTCTAGAAAGCATAGATAATTATATTTTTTTCAAAAATAATAGTAATAAATATCGAAATGAATCAACAAGATAATGATGACTTTATAATTCAAAACACCGTGATGTGTATGTATGTATGTGTGTTAATTACACTCGGAAGTAAGGCCCACTTGTAGTTCGACTTAGCATAGCTTCATTTTGTAGTCTTGATGCTGCCTCTGGTGCTAATCGATTTAATAAAGGACGAATAGACGGTTCGAGTGCGATTATAGCTCCTATATAATAAGGAGAGAAGAGGGTAAGAGAATAAAACGCGGATATAAGGATTATGGAAAATAGAATTGCATCTGTTATATAAGTTAGTCAATTTAACGTACAGGTGTAACTTTATATTTATTTGACAGTTGAACTGCACATTCACAAAATATATAAGTTAGGGATGTTGCTTTATATTTCGCAATTATTATTATTATTTCCTTTAATTCCTAGAGGAACATAGGGCTTCAGCCGCGCGTCTCCATTGCCTTCGGTTCTCTGCCAACGTTTTCACCCGGCTCCACATCTGTCACCTACATGCTTTCATCTCCTCTTCACATCACCTCCTCCAAGTCACCCTACCATTGACGACCAACTCGCCGCTTCCCTTTCGGGTTCCACTTGAGGGCTTGTCTAGTGATGTCACTTGATGATTTCCTAAGACTATGGTCAATCCACCTCCATTTCTTCGTGCATATTTGTTGCACAATCGGTTCCTGGTCGGTTCGCTCATTGCCAGAGATTCCTGTTGCTGATCTTTTCTAACCACCTGATCTTGAATACTATTGAGCGAAGACAACTGTTAATGAAGGTCTGAAGTTTGTTTGAGATGCTCTTTATGACGCGCCAAGTCTCTGATCCGTATGGTGAGTAGCACTGACTTCACACCCGAGTTGAAAATCTGGATCTTATTTTTCAGGCTTAATGTTGTTGACCTCCACACAGACTTGAGAGTAATGAAAACTTGTCTTGCTTTTCCGATTCTTGCTTTGATATCCTTTCCAGTTCCGTCCGCCTGTAGTCGAAACGATGCTTCCCAGGTGGGTGGGTAAAGGAGGTTGTTTCTGATATGTATCCACATATATATATTTATGTGTGTGTGTATGTTGGTCTCTCTTTCTGTTTGCTCGCTTAGTCTGTGACCATTTCACTGGTATGAACTTGTCTCCTTTATCAATGTATATTCTCCTTATATTATATATAATATGAGTGTTTGTTGACAGTCCGTTGCTTGGTGACATATATCCATATATGTTTGTTGGCATTTCTGCTATATTCGCTATGTATAATTGGATCGACACTCCATTATAATTAGCCATTCATGTTAAGACTGTCTAATGATTTTTTCCCACGCTTGTCTGAATTATTCATATATATTCGCATTTACAATTTGTGTGAACTACTTTACTTTACAACTACTTTACTTACTTACCACTTTGGTGTGAGACCATTTATTTTCGTCTCCTTGTGTTTGGACAATAGAAGTATCATCGCAAACCTAGTGGTCTTCTGATTTCCGCCTTCTCGCGTCAGGACTATTAGTTTCTCGACCAGTCCATAACAATAATTCAGCGACGAGTACATAACAGTTTCCTTCAGGTTCCTCCCATTTATGCTGGCTGATTGTTGTTGCTGATGCTGTTGGCCAGGAATCTTTATCACCTCTGTTTTCTCTATTTTCACCTGAAGTTTTATCTTCTCTGGATGCTTCTTCTGCCAACTTGCTGCCTTTGACTTGCCTATCTTCCAGTTTGTGGGAAATCAGACATATATCATCGGCGAAGTCCAGATACTCCAAGTTTGTCTTTGTGTGAGTCCATTTTATGCCTGTTTCCTCATTGCCCGTTGTCTGTCGCATTATCCAATCTACTGCAATCAGGAAAATCATCGGCGATAGTAGGCAACCTTACCTTACTCCCGTCCTCACTTCGAAGGATTCCGTAAGTTTCCAGTTGTGGATTACTTGGAATGCAGCATTGTCATACAACTGTTGGATGAGATGTTTAATTGCTGGTGGCACCCCGTAGTAGCGAAGTACCTGCCAAATCACCTCTTGATCGACGCTGTCTGTCGAAGGCCTTTTCAAAGTCGATGAAGTTGAGATAGAGAGGTGACCGCCATTCCATTTCGCAATATTGGATTCGGATTGATAGAGGATATCCGAGCCCGAGTAACAAAGGCGGTGATCACGAATTTCGCTTATCCACTTCCAATATTACAACATAAAGGCTACTTGATTTTTCAGCCTACCATTTGAGCGAGGTGAGACGGAGAAGTACCTTAATACAAGGAAACAAAGAGTACTGGATACACGAGTCAATGACGTAGGTGTTATAACGGATAAGTTCATTGACTTTCTATCTAGCTATCTATAAGAAAACAACAATTGATTTATCGATTTAGAAATCAGTTCACGGTTTGCAGTATCTTTTATCCCTTGTTAAGTTAAAGAAACAAAATATATTAAGTTTACAATTTTACCACTCATAAGTGCTCACACAGTATACTGAAATACTATACTACCACGATAACTGCTGTTTTGAAATCAGTCCCTCAGACAGATCACGCCTGTCCCAGGTTTTTAGCTGCCCTAACTGAAGTAGGTAGGGCGGGATTAGGACTTCACACCCACCGCTGGCTGAAAGTTAAATCTTCAGACTAACGTACAACAACGTCCTCAAAAATATTATTTTAATTGTGCCTTAGTTCCTAGAGGAAGACAAGGCGTCAGCAGCACGCCTCCATTGCGTTCGGTTCTCTGCCAACATTTTCACTTGGCTCCACGTCTGACCACATGCTTTCATCTCCTCTCCGCATGACATACTCCATGTCACCAAAACTGAACAGTCAGAGGACCGACTATCACAGCTTTGTCGCATTAAGTAGAAAAAGGTAATCTTATCAAATCTCTTCTCACAACAATCAGTCACGTAGGCATGAAGGAGGACACACTAAATAGAAAACTAGAGCCTTTCCTTAACACTCCAAGTCACAATAGCTACCCTCCGCTATTCATCAATAAGTAGATGAAAGGTAAAATGGACAATTCACAAAAGACAGATGTACCAAAGAAGAAGTTAGTGGTGAATCTGAAATTCAAGGGTGATACAACAGCTGAAATTCCTCAAAGTGCATTACAGAGAGTAATTCGAAAATCATTCCTCGCTGTATCCTTACATCTTACCTACTCGAGAGAACCTCCTACTTATCAAAACATCAAATATAGAGTCCCACTGTTGGTGGTATCATTCATGTACAGATACGAATTCATTTGCTTCTATGTCGTTGAGTACACAGAACGTATCCGTAGGGCACTGTCTAGATGCGAACAAGAACTCCTAATATTACTCTCGAAAGGAAAAATTAGACGGATCAACAGTTCAATTCACGAGTACCTTGTTCTCACAAATCATCATTCCGAATCAATATGAAAATCTTTCAGAGTGATATATGAGGTAAGGCCAAGTTGGGTGAAGGCTTTCCAGTTACTTCATCTGCCTACATAAGAAGCCCTTGCCATACACAGGGAGAACCCTGAAATGTGTCTAGGGAAGTGTTCTATACAAGCCTTCCCATATTATTATACAGATCAGTAATTACACTGCATTTGATAGGAACGGCACACAAAATCGACTTTGATCGGACTAAGGTTCTACAGAAAGATTTTGGTTCGTATGAAGAAAGACTGACTGCGGAAGCCCTACATATATGGGTGAATCCCAACAGTCTGAACAGACATGAAGGTGTGATGTTAGCTGACTGATGCATGGAAAATCCTGATTAATCATACTTGGTCGAAATTCCGGATTGCCTATATCTTTTTTATGGAGAGGCTAACAAGTGATTGACAACTGTTTACTCATACACACTCACCATTGTACACCACATATACAAGTATATTTTCATATTCAGTTATCTACAACCACGAACTTAAAGTCGAACGCACTCACTAAAATTCCGATGAAAAGTACACGCTATTTAAAGTGTTTAAAAAAAGTAGACTAATATTTGCAAGAAGTCTCAGGTCAAATTTTGATCACAGTTCATGCAATTTTGTTTATTATACTTTGATGACTGTTTAATGACTCATATGACTGGACAAAGTCCCTTTAATACATAAACCTCTGTTAATTTCGATTAATTTCTTTGAAGAAGTGTGGACAAGTTTGCCGAACAAAATGTTGGAATTACGCACTTCAATTTCGTTGAGATTTTACAAATATAATTTTTACAATGAAAGATATCGTTGAAAAATGTACCTATACGATAGAATAATCTGGGCCAGATTTATACAAAACATTAATCCTTCTACTGTTTCTCTTAACATCTGAAAAAATACATCTCACTTTTATAATAAGTAAACATAACGATTAAAAAAAACAATTCCCTCCATACTCACCTATATTGCATTCACTTGAACCGACAACAGTCAAAAATAATGGAAAGGCTGATCGATATGAAAAGTGAAACTGGCATATCTGAAAAACACACATATAAATAAAGGGAGTTATTACACATGTTCTGAAGTTCTAAAGCCGAAAATCCAAAGATCATTTTTTCCGAAAAGTAAGTCAATTGTGCACTTTTGTAATTCACGATGTAAAAACATGCGTATAAAGGCATGGGTCAATCACTATAAAACACAAATGACTCAAGTGTGTATTTTGTATCTTACGTACAGTGTGGAACACAGAGCATCAAACCTTGAATATTCAGCAGCACCATTCTACTTACGGGGTGAGGTTACCACCAGCCTTACACCAAACGTACCCAGACCTGCTACGGGCTAGTAAACTAGGGGAGGTTTAGGTGTTCGCGTTGGCGGGGAATAGAACTAGGGGTACCCATGTGGCTGATGAGCATTCTGTCGTCAAACCAGCGACGCACAAATGTGTATGCTTGATAAATACCTTACATATGACGGTTGAATAAGTTATGAAAATTCTGTGTTGGAATGTATTCCAAACTTCACAATGCCGATGTTAGAAAGATGCATAGCACTGTCTGAGGTAAATGCACTGCTGCAATTCTTTAATCTCGAACACGATTTGAGATACAATTAGCAGCGGCCACAGTGAAGCAGAGCACTTTAAAAGACTTCTTGTACATGAACCTTAAAAGTAAATCATCCTAAAGTGTTAACTTAGGAATCACTACCACATAAAACATTAACCTCAGAAGATCCATAATCAGAAGGCAATACATTTTTCGTGAATATCGACTGAAATATTGTATTTAGATTATTAAGCAACCTAGATATAGATGAATTAACGTAGCCGGATGAATTTCATCCAAGGCCTCTCAAGTGTCTGGCAATGTAAATGGCTTGTCTATTGAGTACTATCTTCACAAAAATGTGTAACTAGAAAAATGCACTAGTGACTCCTATCCAAGATGGAAGATACTGCAATCTCCTCCTGAATTATAGGCCAAGTCTTAACAGCAATTCTCTTCTTTAAAACTACACTTACCAATTACTTACTAATCACAATTGCCTCATAATTCTGTGTAGATTGGGTTTGAGGAAGCAAACAAAGTGCAATTTCTGCAAACATATCTCAACAATCCACCAAGCCGACTAATATAATATCTAATTACCTCAATCTGTGATCATACACATACGGAAGCAAATGGAAGTGTATACAAAATTAGAAAAATGCCCTTTCCTACGGCCTATAAACATACTGATCTAGGAATCATGGAGCACTGTTGCTCAGGAATTTAGAACGCTAAACAACACTCATGATGTTTAGTAGCTCCATCGTTCTAGTAAGTTCTAATTCAAAAATTTGCACCACAGTAGCTAGCCCATGTCTAAGGACGGTCACGCGTGTGACGTTTATTATAAGACGGTTAATTGGGAGCAGTGTCTAGAAAGATTGAAACTTCTCTTTGTCATACCGTGGGCATGGGGTCAAATCATTTAAAAAGACGAATATATGCCTGGTTCATCTTTTCCAAACTATGAAGGAGAAACAACTCCAACGACAAGGCAGAAGAGATTAAAAGTGAAGGCTAAGCTACACCGATTATACCACCAATTTAATAACGCTTGAGACCAACTCGGAAAGTAGTCAGTAACTCCATATGACCATAGTCAACCACTGGAAATTGATACACAGCAGTCGACAGAATGCTTTTCCTTAGATTAGATTCTTGTGATCAACTTCAAGAAAGCCATACTGGTTACATCACAGTTTTACAGGTGATTACAAAGCCTACCTTATTCAAGAATAAAACCACCGGCAAAAGAGTTTACTCATGAATTAATCTTGCCTTCACTGATGAAATACTGAAACACGCTACAGATAAGTGGAAGAATTGTGAATTTCGTTAAGGCATTTGAGGCTGCGTATGTATACGTCTTATTTGAATTTCTTGACCGACATAACTACGGAAGATCTCAAGATATTTCTGCATATTTTGAGGCAATATTTTTCTTAACGTGTATGCATTTTTCACACACTAACTTGGTAAACGTGCTGATTTTTCCACTTGTCATACTTTCTTGACATGTGATTATTCCAAATGCCTAACTGGTTGATTCCCACCCAAGATTGGTAACCTTATTTACGCCTGATCCAATACTGTGTGTTACTTCTTTCAACTAAGTTATATACAATTAAAGAACATAACAGTAAGAAATAAGAACCCTAGATTCCGCTGTAGATAACCAGCAACAACAACTAATATGAAGCCAGACCAGAAGGTTTAACTTTTCCCAGTGTCAAATTTACACTTACAAATGAATGTCAGTTAGGAACACGTGTTATTAGGGTTTACAAAACAATTATACGCAACGACATACCACCATCTCTTGGTAACTAGTGATCATCCATTCCATTTTCCCAAGGTCCATTTTATTTACTTGCTGTAAAGATACGATGAATGCCGCAGTCACATATGGTAAGCGGGCTTGGTCTGGCATGTCATCCAGAGAAGCTGTATTAATTAATTATCACAAGAGTGATAATTATAATTAGGAATTACCACTCGCGATGACAACGCCATCCTTATCAGCAACAAATATTCCAAGTATACCATCAACTCTAACATATTAAGAACCAAATTCGAAAAAAGCTTACTCTGATAAAAATCTCTTGAGGTGATCACACGCAGACTACTCAGGAAGGTTACCGAAATCTAACGACTAACCTCAGACATTTATAGCGGACCGCAATTGCGGTTAACCTTGACCACTTTTCAAGGTCGTCCTTACGAAGCAAAGATAAACTAGTTGGATTTGTTTTGTACTCGCTTCTTGGTTGTAATGTATAGTTGCCTGATCCTCAGTAAATTTCTACGTAGTGAGTCCCGCCACGCACTTAGCGTAGCTATGGACGACCCCAGTGGAAGTGTAGCTGGAAATGTCTATATTTGGTTTCCAATATCCAATATCGTTTTTACGAGCTAGTATAAACCAATTTGATTTCTTTGTGCTCGCTTCTTGATTGTGAGGTATAGGTTCTTGATCTTCGGTAAACTTCTGCGTAGCTTGTCCCGCCACTCGACTGTCGTAGCTTTGGTTGACTCCAAAGGGAGTAGTGCTGGGATTAATTATATGTGGTTTGTAGTATGAGGTATGTTAAGACTGTTACTACTGTGATTGGAGTTGATCCTTTCGCCAGTTAGTCCTTCGGTGTTGTCGACAAGAGGAAAGAGATAGTAATAATAATAATAGTAATAATAATAGATATAATTAGTGAAGCTATTCAGACTAAGAGACAGAAACGAAAATAGGAAACGTAACAACAGTCAGCTCATCAAGTTTGAAGAATAATATATATATCGGTAATAGTAATAATAATAATAGTAATTATAATATTAATAAGTTGTCAGGAGAGTAAGACGGGAGAGAATGTAAAGAAGTAAAATGACGAGTTTAATTATCTACCCTGATTGGTATTTATTTATTTAAATGAAATAAACATTTCTCTGATTTCAAAATAACACATCAATGAACTATAAATCAAGGATTCTGTACACAAGAAAATTATGTATGAAAACTGACTTCTAGCTTTATTTTTTTCCCAGGCACTTATAACCCATCCACCAAAGACCTGGTTTTTTTGTTAATGCGAAGACAATACTTCTGTATTTCCTGATGTGTTGCACTCACTGAAAATCTAGCGGATTTTTCCAACTATGCACAGAAATGATTGTACATAAGTGAAAAGGATGTTTTATACTATTCGGATTAACATTTATCAAGTGTACGTATAATCTCCAGTGTACATGTTTAACATATTTTGCTATCGACTGTAAATTGTGACTGAATAATATGATCCTATTTCTGTAACAATTTGATGATGCCTGTAAACTGGCGTCCCTCATGTACTGTATCATGAGAATAAATTTATTTTATTTTATTATTAAAACAATATTTATGCATGCCTATACAATTGGTGTACCCTACATAGCTAGGGAAAAAATGTACCTTATTATATTATCTTTACTAAATATGCTTATTAATATTATGTGTAAATTATCGAATTGATGATGCCTGTAAACTGGCGTCCCTCATGTAAAAAATGAGAATATATATTATTATTATTAAAATGCGATTTCAAGGAGATAGGCCATTTGGATGCAGTCCTTGTATCGCTGCATGGTTGTCCAGCCTTCGCTTAAAGGCGTCCAAAGACGGTGCCATAGCTACATCTGCCGGTAAGGAATTCCAGGGACGACAAACCCGCAGTGAAAAGAAGTGGGAGCGCACCCGGGTCCTTGCCCTCTGGTGAGCTATCCTTCTGGGATTTCCACGTGGAAGCCTATACCTACTCAATGGCAGAACACCTTTGTTTGGGTGATTCTGGTCATTTGTTATTTTGTAGGCAGTAATCAAATCCCCCCTAAGCCGACGGTAACTAAGTGTGAACAGGCCTAATTTCTTCAGCCTTTCATCATATGGTTTGTTTCGGAGACCAACCACTCCTTTTGTTGCCCGTCGTTGGACTCTTTCCAAGAGGTTGGCATCTCTTCTCAGCATTGGGGGTGCAATAATATTATGCACCTCAAGGTGTGGCCTGACGTATGTTTTGTACAACATTAGAAAGAGCTCAGGAGTGAGTGCACCTAACTGTCTATGCGTAAAGTGTATGACCGCATATGCCCTCGCTACATCCCCTGTGTAATTTACGCTTGTGTCCATTTTTTCCGTTAGAACTAGACCTAAGTCGCGTTCCGACGTTGTGCAGGACAAGCTTTCATTGCACAGGGTGTAACTTGCATTCTGCAGTCTACAGGTGCGCAACTTCACTACTTTGCACTTTTTCAAGTTGAAAGTCATGCCACTGGCCACCGCCCAGTCTTCCAGAAGGTTTAGGTCTTCCTGTAGCCTATCTGAGTCCTCCGGACACTTTATCGCCCTCCATATTTTTACGTCGTCAGCGTACAGGAGAGTCGGGCAGCTCAGACGGCGTGGTAGATCATTGATGAAAATCAAAAACATCAGTGGTCCTAGGATAGAACCCTGCGACACTCCTGATGACGATCTGTGCCAAGATGATCGGACTCGGTTAACCTTAGTGCAAAATTGCCTGTCGGCTAGGTAGTCCTTCAACCATGACAGAAGTGGCTCACCTATGCCTGCCTGGCTTATTTTATGTAGGAGAAGGTCATGGTGAACAGTGTCAAATGCCTTCTCAAAGTCTAGGAAGACCACATGGACTGGTACGTTCAAGTCCCAGCATGATGTCCAGTCGTCCCAAGCTGACAGTAGGTTAGTGACGCAGGATCTGCCTTTTCTGAAACCATGTTGGGCTTCATGTAGTATATTAGTCCTATCGAAATATTCCCTGATGTGGTCGTCAATAATACTTTCCAGTACTTTTGATACCACTGGGAGTAGAGCTACTGGTCTATAGCTAGCAGCGTTTTGCCTGTCCCCACCCTTGAAGATTGGAGAAAGGATGGCTCTTTTCCACTCCCTTGGCAGGGTCCCCGAATCCATTGAGTGTTGGAACAAGTCGCACAGGGGTCTACAGAGAGCCTCGGCGCACTGTTTCAGAACAGATGGCCTGATGTCATCACAACCTGGGGACTTCCCAGGTATGAGTCGCTGTAGCTTCCTTAGTACTATTGCGGGGTTTATTTGGGGAGTAGTCGCTAGGTCTTCCTCCTCTGAAATAGTGGTGCCACCATTTTGGTCCGTAACTGTAATATCCACATTGCTGTTTAGCTGTTTAGCGAAGGCTGAACTGAATGTTTCAGCCATCTCCAGACTAGTGAGATATTGACCGTTTGGGCCTACTAAGGCGCATGCCCCTTGGTTTGTCGGTTTTCTTTCCGACATGAATCGGTACAAGTTTTTAGGGTTTGATAGGAGTTTTTTAGCAAGGTTAGCCTGGAATGACCTTCTGTCCCTCCTAACTCTTGCATTACACCGGTTCCTGAGTTCGAGGTATGCATCATGGTCGGTCTGACTCTTAGATACACGCCACGTAAACCAAGCCTTCCGCTTTGCTTGCAGAATACGTTGCGTGCCTCTCTTCAACCATGACGTCTTTCTCTTAGGCTGTGTTGTGACTAAAGGGACGGTATCCGAGATTGCTGCATGGATAATCTTTTTTACCACTTCCCAGTGTTCATCCACAGATAGGTCGTCCCATGCTAAGGGCCAGTCTGCGTCGGACAAGAGCCTCCGCATTTCAGCATAGTCAGCCTTGCTGTAGCACAGACATGGTCGCGTAACATCCCATTGCAAACGCTCACGGAGGACAAGATCGAAACCTATGACTGCATGGTCACTGCTTCCCAGAGGAGTCATGATCTGGACCTTTTCGACGAGTAGCTGGTCACTAGTTAGAATATAATCTAGTTTTGATGACTTTCCACTAGGGCCCCACCTAGTGTCGTCTCCAACATTCTCAGTCAGTCCCGTGTTTCGAATAGTTTGCAGTAGGTTTCGGCCAAATTTTCCCTTAGCACACCCGGAGCCAAGGTTCAGTGATGGAGCATTGAAATCTCCAGCTATGGTGATTTGGTCGTAGCCCAAATCTCGTATTCCTGTGATAGTGCTGAGCAGTAGCTGATTGTGCTCTGCCCCACAGGTGGGAGATCGGTAGATGCCACCCAGTAAGTGCTTGGTGTGGCCTACGGTGAAATGACACCATATGGAGTCTGGGAGTTCGATAAGTGGTGGGTCCGTTGCGCGCACACATTTAAGTTGCCTATCAAAGTATATAGCAACTCCCCCTCCTTCCTTATTATCCCTGTCTCTCCTGACCAGTACCATATCACCTATACTGATTTCATTGTCGGCGATAGTGGGGTTTAGCCACGTTTCAGTAAGAATGATTATTTTCAGTTGAAGGTGTGCTTGGAGATTTCGGAGTTCACCTACTTTCCCTCTCAGCCCCCTCACATTGCTATATAGGCAACTGACAGTGAGTCTAACAACCTCAGAGTGTTGTGGGGTAGTTGACGTGAAACCGTCTGCTGGTGGGGGACTTGATGTTGGAACTAGTTGGCCGATTCCGATAGAACCGGCCCGTTGTAGTTTTTTTCAATGGATTTAGGCAGGACACTTGGGAGACACAGACTATTATTCTCAGAGCTGCATCGCTCTAGTGTCACCGAAGCTTGGGGTCGTATTAAAGCCTCAGTTTGCTGCCTCCTTATATTTCTGGGTCTGCTTTCACAGCATCGGATGTGTCCTCCAATTTTTCCCTTGGTCTCATACCACCGTTGAAGTGATATGGACAACTGCTCCGGGGAGTTGAATGTGACACACAGCAGCTTTGGAGAGTTAATCAATGTTAGATGAGCGGGACGAGGTAGTCGGAAAATGGAGATGGCTCCAGAAGCGCCAGGGGCCATCTGAGATGACAGCCATCTCCATTGTTGTACGTCGTGCATGTGTTTTTCACAAGCAGTGCCGGTTTCCAGCTCCGGAACACCGTGTACCACCATAGAGGTGGAAGGCATCAGTTCCGGTGACTCCCTCGCCATATTTCTGACGGCCCATGGTCTATCTTGCCGCGCTCTTATGTTAGAACTTCTGTCCAGGGCTAGTACCTGAGCCATTAACAGTACTTTTTCGGCCTCTTCGGCAGAGTCCAGTGTAACCCGTAATGGGGGTGGCTTACCCTGAGGCGTGTGGACACCCCTGTACAGTCTGCACAGTTTTGCTGAACTAATGTTCAGACCTAGTTTGCCGCACA